CCATCCGAAAATTCCGAAATTTTTTCCGACTTCTCCTCTTAGCTCCAATCTATCCCTATGAGTATTTGGATGTACTGCCTTCGTACATTTCCATCCCCATCAAAGAAACAAAGTCGATCCCCGGGCAATTAAATGTGTCCTAATTGGCTACTCTTCTACACAAAAAGGATACAAATACTATGATCCTTCCACACAACGAGCATTTGTAAGTCTTGATGTCACTTTTTTCGAAAATAAACCGTACTTTGAAAAAACCTCTCTTTAGGAGGAGATCTTAACAGAAGATCGGTTCTTTGATTTTAGTCTCTCCTCTCCTGAACCTGCTCTATCTATCCCTCCATCCGACACTAATATGCCATTAACAAAGGAAAACTTGAATACAAGGGAAGACGTAGAAAAACAAAAGGATAAGGAGATATTAATTTACTCACGAAAGCCAAAATCAAAGTACATAGAGAATCTCACGACTGAAGCACCAAAAGAATCAGAACCGATGGTAGCTCCACCTCAGAAAGTATAAGAGATATCTGATACCGATTTACCCATTGCCCTCAGAAAACAACCATGGTTATGCACTCAACACCCTATCTCAAAATTCATGTCATATACTGCTCTATCTTCAGAATTTCGTACTTTTACAGCCCGTCTTGACAATACAATTATTTTCAGGAATATTCAAGAGGCATTAGAAATTCCAGAATGGAAAGAGGTAGTTTTGGAAGAAATGCGTGCATTGGGGAAAAATGAAACTTGGGAAGTGATGGAGTTGCCACAAGGAAAGAAACCCGTGGGATGTAAAGGTTTTCAGCTTCAAACACATAGCAGATGGGACAATAGATCGGTATAAAGCCCGATTGGTTGCAAAAGGATATACTCAAACCTATGGTATTGACTACACAGAGACATTTGCACCAGTAGCAAAGTTGAATACATTTTGAGTCCTTCCATCAATAGCAGTAAATTTGGACTGGCCACTTCAGCAACTCGATATTAAAAATGCATTCTTGAATGGGGAATTGGAGGAAGAAGTGTTTATGACATTACCGCCAGGCTTTTGTAAGGAGGAGGAAAAAAGTCTAGTATGCAATCTTAAGAAATCATTATATGGACTCAAACAGTCACCAAGAACATGGTTTGATAGATTTGTAAAAGTGTTGAAAAAATAAGGATATCGCCAAGGACAGTCAGATCACACTTTGTTCCTACGGTAGTTTGTAGATGGTCCTAAAATTATTTTAATCATATACGTTGATGATATCATTCTGACAAGAGACAACAGAACAGAAATGGAAAGACTAAAAACAAGTCTTGCCATTGAATTTGAAGTAAAGGACTTGAGATCAATGCAATATTTTCTGGGAATGGACGTTGCTAGATCAAGACGAGGGATTAGTGTATCACAACGGAAATATGTTCTCGATCTTCTAACTGAAACTGGCATGCTAGGATGTAAACCAAGTGATACACCCATAGATATCGGAAGAAAAAATGGCAACGAAGGAAATCCTGTAGAAATAGACAGATATCAAAGATTGGTTGGAAAACTAATTTATCTATCACACACTAGGCCTGACATAGCATTTGCGGTTAGTTTGGTAAGTCAGCACATGCACTCTCCAAAGGAAAGTCACTTAGAAGTTGTCTATAAGATACTCAGATATATCAAGGGCTCCTCAAGAAGGGGGCTATCCTTCAAAAGGGATGAAAGAAAAGGTGTGGAACTCTTCACGACACAGATTGGGCCGGATCAACAGATGATAGGAGATATACTATAGGTTACTGTACATTTGTATGGGGAAATCTAGTAACCTGGAGGAGCAAGAAACAAAACGTAGTTGCCAGAAGTAGTATCGAAGCTGAATTCAGAGCAGTTGCGCAAGGAATATGTAAAGGACTATGGTTAAAGAAGCTCCTAGAAAAACTTTATGTCACAATAAAGCCACCAATCAAACTTTACTGTGACAACAAAGCAGCTATCATCATCTCTCTTAATCTAGTTCAACATGATCGAACAAAACACGTAAAGGTAGACAGATACTTTATAAAGGAAAAAGTTGAGGAAGGAACCATTTGCATGATCTATGTTCCTACGCAAGAACAAACTGCAAATATCTTCACCAAGGGACTATCAAGACAGAAATTTGATGATTTCATTTTCAAGTTGGATATGATAAACATTTATGATCCAACTTGAGGGGGAGTGATGAAATCACAATAATTTTAGAAATAGGTTTATGAATTATTTATTTCCATAGTTAGAGTAGTTATTAATGGAGTGATTGATTATTGTAATCTTTAGATTTGGTAGGCAATTTTTCTTTCCTTTTATTTTTCCCTTCTTTGTATTATAAAAGGGACGATGTTTAGCTCATATTATACAAGAAAAATATTATTTTTCTCTTCAAATAATAGAAAAAAATGTTCTTTGGATAAAAAGTTGAAGCAATATGTAAAGATGTAGGCCCAAAAAAGAAAATAATAGAGAGGCAAGTGTACCTTGCTGATGTACTTAATGATGTAATAGAGTTTCATAAACTTGTATAAATAGAGACATTGTCATAAAGAAAGGGCATCTCATCTTATCTTGAAATCTCGAATTGTAAACAATAGTCACTCAAAAAACCCATTCCTAGTTTGAAAAATCTGTTTTGCTGGAAATTCCTTTGTACCAAATAAAAGTCTTATATAAATTTTGATGGAAATAAAACTCCAATATTTTTTATATGAATATGAGTTTCTAAATTTTTATTCACATAGATTCTTGATAGACCTGATAAAAAGTTTCTTTCTTATTTTAACAAAAAGAAAGTTTTTCTTTAATAGAAGTCTAGGATTTCATTCTTTAAAAGTTGATACAATGAGAGCAAGTAGCTGAAAGAAAGACTAAAAACAAGTCTTGCCATTGAATTTGAAGTAAAGGACTTGAGATCAATGCGATATTTTCTGGGAATGGACGTTGCTAGATCAAGACGAGGGATTAGTGTATCACAACGGAAATATGTTCTCGATCTTCTAACTGAAACTGGCATGCTAGGATGTAAACCAAGTGATACACCCATAGATATCGGAAGAAAAAATGGCAACGAAGGAAATCCTGTAGAAATAGACAGATATCAAAGATTGGTTGGAAAACTAATTTATCTATCACACACTAGGCCTGACATAGCATTTGCGGTTAGTTTGGTAAGTCAGCACATGCACTCTCCAAAGGAAAGTCACTTAGAAGTTGTCTATAAGATACTCAGATATATCAAGGGCTCCTCAAGAAGGGGGCTATCCTTCAAAAGGGATGAAAGAAAAGGTGTGGAACTCTTCACGACACAGATTGGGCCGGATCAACAGATGATAGGAGATATACTATAGGTTACTGTACATTTGTATGGGGAAATCTAGTAACCTGGAGGAGCAAGAAACAAAACCTAGTTGCCAGAAGTAGTGTCGAAGCTGAATTCAGAGCAGTTACGCAAGGAATATGTGAAGGACTATGGTTAAAGAAGCTCCTAGAAAAACTTTATGTCACAATAAAGCCACCAATCAAACTTTACTGTGACAACAAAGCAGCTATCATCATCTCTCTTAATCTAGTTCAACATGATCGAACAAAACACGTAAAGGTAGACAGATACTTTATAAAGGAAAAAGTTGAGGAAGGAACCATTTGCATGATCTATGTTCCTACGCAAGAACAAACTGCAAATATCTTCACCAAGGGACTATCAAGACAGAAATTTGATGATTTCATTTTCAAGTTGGATATGATAAATATTTATGATCCAACTTGAGGGGAGTGATGAAATCACGATAATTTTAGAAACGGGTTTAGGAATTATTTATTTTCATAGTTAGAGTAGTAATTAATTGATTGATTGATTATTGTAATCTTTAGATTTAGTAGGCAATTTTTCTTTCCTTTTATTTTTCCCTTCTTTGTATTATAAAAGGGACGATGTTTAGCTCATATTATACAAAAAAAATATTATTTTTCTCTTCAAATAATAGAAAAAAATGTTCTTTGGATAAAAAGTTGAAGCAATATGTAAAGATGTAGGCCCAAAAAAGAAAATAATAGAGAGGCAAGTGTACCTTGCTGATGTACTTAATGATGTAATAGAGTTTCATAAACTTGTATAAATAGAGACATTGTCATAAAGAAAGGGCATCTCATCTTATCTTGAAATCTCGAATTGTAAACAATAGTCACTCAAAAAACCCATTCCTAGTTTGAAAAATCTGTTTTGCTGGAAATTCCTTTGTACCAAATAAAAGTCTTATATAAATTTTGATGGAAATAAAACTCCAATATTTTTTATATGAATATGAGTTTCTAAATTTTTATTCACATAGATTCTTGATAGACCTGATAAAAAGTTTCTTTCTTATTTTAACAAAAAGAAAGTTTTTCTTTAATAGAAGTCTAGGATTTCATTCTTTAAAAGTTGATACAATGAGAGCAAGTAGCTGAAACAGTAACAATTCCAGGAAGGCAGGAGGCCGTTGAAGGAAGCAATTTACAGATTCAGAGCTCGAAAGTCACTCGATTCTAAGAATACACGTCCAGATCAAACATAAGGTAAAACTATTAAACTTTTGTTAAAATTAGAATGAATCTTTTTAAGATCTTAAAAAATCGTAAGGATTAATTGCATGATTTGATGATCATTTGAATAAATGCCAGGATAGACAATTAAAGGATTGGATAATTTATTAGAAAGAATGATAGAAGTAATAAAAAATATGTATTCTCAATTAGAAAATATGAATGCATCTTCTGAAAAATATAATATATTAAATAATAAATGTGAATAATATGTTGCAGATTATTCCAATTTATTAAATTATAGAATGAAATTTTATTCAAATATTCAAAATAGGGTAAATATAAGATAAAATATTTAAAAGATTATGATATATTTTACAATATATAAAAAATCTTTTCATTAAGGATAATATAGATCTCTCAACAAAAAAGAATGGTCATAGGTCTGATAGAAAAATCTTCCCATTACACTCCTTTGGACATAAATCGAAAATCAACCCTAACCTAGAATCCTCTCTCTATATAAAAGCCCTCATAGTTCCTCTCTTAAACCCCGGTATTTTTTTTTTTGACAGTAATTTAGGCAATTCGCAGCAAAAATGGAGGTGAGCAAATTGAACTCTAACGTAAGTAATTTGAGGGAGGAGCTAATGGCCTGCTCATTTGTGGAAGCAGTAGCTGTTCAAACCCTTTTGGCTGCTCAAAAATCTCTGGCCTGCCTTCTGGTATATAAAATTTTTTTAAGAATTTTTACTTTTTTATTCATATTCTAGCAATTTTTTAACATAGTGATGTGGTGCTTTTATTTATTATTATTTTTTTTCAGTTTTGACTTTTGAGGCGAGCTACTTGGTGATGTTTATATTGTTGCTTTTGTGTAGTTTAAAGGATTTTGCCATTTCTCTAATTTTATTCATCGTTTCTCTAATTTTATATTAATTTTATATTTTTCAAAGAAAATTAAAAATTTATTATAAGGGTTCTTGAATCTTAGAATTTTCCTTTTTCTTATTTATTTGTGGTTTGTAATGTTGTGAAATGTCTTGCTTTATTTGGTTAGATAATCATTTGAAAAAGACTTTTTCCCCCATTATTAGCACTGTCAAAAGGAGTATAAGAAGAAAGCGATTGGCTTTTTTACTTTTTTATTGTTCCATTTACTGCATTGAATGGGTCATTAAATTGTTATTAAGTAATACAAATATTTTGGATTCGGTATGTTTGATTGATATTTGGGAGAAATTGTGTATGTGATAAGTGCGGATGACTTTTGCTACACGTTGGTGAGATGCTTAGTAATTTTCATAAAGAATAAATCTTTATCAATGTCGAAAGAAATATGGACGCTTGGTATTTTCATCTCAGCCAATAAATTTTTTAAGTGAATGCTTGAGTTAGTGGGATTAAGAAGTAACAAATTTCATGAATCGTGCTTTTGCTTTAGCTAAATATAATCCCTAGTATTTGGTGCATCGTTTTTTGCAGTGAGGTGCTTTAATCTATTCAGTTTTAATGTTTTGGAATTTTCCATTTGTATAGAATGGCCTTTCACAGAACCATTACAGATACTCATGTGGAGGTGGGCCCCATATGAATAAAATATTGTAAAAAAAAAAACCTACTCACCCCCTGTTATGTGTATTCTGTAAGCCTTCTGTAAGCTTTCCTTTTGTACAAGAAGCAAGGCTAATGTTTTTGGATCTAAGTTTTTTGGTAAAGATAATCCAAGTTCTTGTAGACATTACTATATGACAGAGAGTCCTGTTGTTTTATGCTGCTTCTCAACATCTTCTTGCTCTATTATTAAAGGAATGAATCACTTTCTCACATCCCTTACTTGTTCTCCTGCTGTTGTTTTTCCATTTGAATTCACGTGTTATTTCCGTCTTTATAATTTAAATTTAGCTGATGACTCTCTTGAAAGTGAATTCATTCCGAATTTGTTGATATTGAGTTTTGTATCTCTATCTGAAAGTTTGAAATTGACCTAAAAAGTAATTTTTTTTGTAGTTTCTTTAGTCTTGCTTATTGATCGAATTGTACATGTTGTGGATCAATTTCTGTTGGGACCAAGCTGTTTATGTAGGAATAGTGCAAATATAGATAAATGCTTTTGTGGCTGTCGTTGTTTGACTTTCCCTAATAGTGGAAATTATGCTAACAGATAGAATCTCTGTTGGACAATGTTGATGGAATACCAAAATTGATTGAGAAAAGGTAATTGTTGTTTTTCGTTATAATACAATACCCCGTAAGAACTATATAAAATAAATTATGCTTACAAATTTCTGCAGGTTTCCCTTGAACGAGCTTCGTAGAAGGGAAAAGCCTGGACCTGAAAATAAAGACGGAAGTGATACAGAGAATAATGATGAAGGTGATGGTGAAGATGCTGATGAGCACGTAGATGACGAGGATGACGATGAAGACTTCTCGGGTGATGAAGAAGGGGGAGACGATGAAGAAGGGGATCCCGAGGATAATCCTGAGGCTAACGGAAATGATGGGAGTGGTGACGAAGATGATGATGATGGTGACGAGGATGAGGATGAGGATGATGATGAGGATGACGAGGATGAAGAGGAGGAGGAGGATCAACCACCCCCGAAAAAGAAGAAGTGAATTAGCGGTACCAAGTAGGTGTT